TGTGTGTGTGCGCGCGCGCGCGCACGCGCCTTTATCACTCTATAAATACAAAACCAACCCAACTTAAATTTACACCCTTTTCTACATATTCTCTCCAAAAAAAACCACTACAACACAATGTCGTCATATTCGTCCTTTGATTCCACGACTCTAGAAGAGGCATTATTTGTCAATATTGTCATGGAAAAGCATGTTGCATATTTTCAAAATCGACAAGGTCAAAGTTCACGTTTACAATCTAAAACAAGAAAGACGTAGTTGCGGTGAAATCACGAATCCCAGTACAATCATTGAAGACTATTTTGCAGATGACGTCGTGTACGTTGAAAAGTTTCGACGGCGGTTCCAGATGAGGAAGGAGTTTTTCTTACGTATTTGTTGGCGATTTGGAAGACCGTTTTCCATATTTCCAATGGAAACAGGATGCTTGACGCACGAAGGGTTTCTCTCCAATTCAAAAGTGCACAGTCGTAGTTCGTCAGTTAGCATACGACATGGGCGTAGATAAATGAGACTTGTATTTGAGGATGTATGAGTGTACCATATAGGAAAGTGTGTACAAGTTCGTGAAAGTTGTCACTTTGGTTTACAAGCGGTGGTATTTGCGCAAACCAAGCATCAACGATGTCCACAAATTGTACATGGTGCATGAAAGTAAGCATGAGTTCTCGGGAATGTTATGTAGTATCGATTGCATGCATTGGACTTGGGCATTGCGCCCCACGCATGGCGTTGTCAGTACATGCAAGGCGTGGTCAATACTTGCAAGGCGACCATAGAGAGTTGACGATTGTTCTAGAAGCAATCACATCACATAATATTCGGATATGACACACATTCTTTGGTCTAGCTAGTGCAAACGACATCAATGTTCTAGAACAACCGTCAGTATTTAACGACATCTACCTTGGAAAGTCGCATGATGTATATTTTCATGCAAATTGGGTAGCATATAAGCGCGAGTACTATCTTACATACAAGATATATCCTACCTTATTTGTTTTTGTGAAATCGTTCACATGTCCAAATAACAAAAAAGAGTAAAGTTTAAGCAGACACAAGAATCAAGTAGGAAGAACGTGGAGCGAGCATTTGGTGTACTCAAGAGGTGTTTATTAATCATTTTTAAGAAAGTATATTTATTTTTAAAATTATAAATTTTAAAATGCAATTATTGTTATTTAAAAATAAAATAAAAGTAAAAGGTAGTAAAATAAAACTTTTTTTTTTTGCCTTTTTAGTGAGAGAAAGGAAAGTAAAAAAACTATCCTAACACTCAAAAAGTAAAGGATGATTCTCATAATACTCTAGTACTATATATATATATATATATATATATATATATATATATATATATATATATAACCACTTTTAACTAAATGGATCAAAATCAACATTAAGGCCTGGTTTTGTCAAATTTTTTCTAATTAAATACTCTTTAAATAAATTGTTGTCTACGGAGAAATGACATAAATTTCCTATAATGTTTTTAGATTGGCCGATTCGGTCTTTAAAATTATCTTATTGCTTTATAGGGGTATATAAGATCGGAAGCAACATGTCTTGTCCTTTTAAGTGACTGAATGAAACCTATACCTATACATGTTTCATGTTTCAGTGAACACATCAACTCTTTTTACCACATCAACAATGACATGGATGACAATAGAGGTAACAAGTTGACGATGATGGCACATCTCTCGTACATTTTATCGAACACTTTGTATGCATTGTTTACACCACTATACTCGCCATAAAATCTTAGAATGGCGTTCCCAACAAATACATCATAATCAAACCCAATTTGCAAACTAACCCATGAACCTCTTGTCCCTTCCGGACATTATGATGATCCCAACAACATTTGAGAACAAACGGGAAAGAATGATCATTGTGGTTTTTGAATTCATATACATTCATATAAACTACCAACCACCCAACATGTTGCTTCCGACTTTATACCCCCATAAAGCAACAAAATAACTTTAGTGACTGAATCGACCAAGTTTGAAAACATTGAGAAAATATGAAGAAAAAACTCTTGCAACTGACTTTTTCTATGTATAGAGCTTACCATATAAAGACTCGCATCCGTCCATTATCTAAAGTAATTTCACTAATTAAGACCACGGACATGAATGAAATTTCAAAACAACGAAACAAATTATTGCACAATTCCATCGTGTCATAAAGACCACAACAACAAGAACTCAGAAAAAATTATGTTTAAGCTTTTAAAAAAGCTCATTGAGCTTGTGGGCCAGCCGGCTGTTGTTGTGTTATACAATGAATGTTACCTCCTCCAAGAACAATTTCTCTCGCCCCATCAATTTTCACCACCTTAACCAAACAACATTCACACACTCAATTAAGTTGTTGTACTGTGTATTGGACCGGGACTCAGACAGACTGATGTGAGTGGAACAAAAATTGCAAATTTTTTGTCTCATGCAAAAAGATGGAACAAGGTAGGACAAAGACCCGCTCTCGATCTCTCATCTGTGCAAAAAGACATAAATACCCTTCTCATCCTAATCATTGTAAATACCCCCACAAACCTTGTCTGGTCGAGTCCTGCGTAGTCCCCTCCCATCCCGTGTGTTACACGGGACCGGAGTAGATTGATCTGGACTGGACTAGACAAGCTTTATGGGATTCTTTACGATGATAAGGATGAGAAGAGTATTTATGTCTTTTTACACAGACGAGAGATCGAGAGCGGGTCCATGTCCTACCTTGTTCCATCTTTTTGCGTGGGACAAAAAATTTGCAATTTTTATTCCACTGACATCAGTCTGGTCCCAGTCCAATGTATGTCAAACGCAGTATAACTTATTTTGATGAAATGCTTACTTGACGATCAGGGAAAGCCTTAGACAGGACACGCAAAGCTTCATCGTCCCATTTTGGGTCTCCAAATTGGGGTGCAATAATTCCACCATTCACAGTATAAAAATTAACATATGAAGCAGCAAGCCTTGTTCCAGGAAGTCTTGGTTTAGCTTCTCCCACCTTTTTAGTAGTTAATATAACACAATCAATAAATGATTTTTTTTTTTTTTTAAATGAGAGAACACTATGGAATATGGATGCACATGCTTACTTGAACAAATCCAGAAGCTTCTTCATCTGTCATATAAAGAGGCCCTGGTATATGGAGTTTAATAATTTCAAATTTTCTACCATTTGCATCTGTAGAATTTGAGAGAACAGTAAAAGCCTCTACAGCTCTCTCATAATGAGGGTCTGATTCCTCATCTGTCCAGGACAATAACACCACTCCAGGCTTCACAAAACAGCACATATTGTCTATGTGTCCATTTGTATCATCATCACCTGTATAAAAAATAATAATATAATTATAAAAGAAAAAAACATACATTGTTATTTCTTGCATTTAACATTTTTTGAAAATGTACCAAATAGTCCTCGAGGCAACCATATAATCTTCTTGACTCCTAGATAGGCTTTAAGTTCATCTTCTATTTGTTCTTTGGTCAGATGTGGATTCCTGTTTTTGTTCAATAAGCATTCTTCTGTAGTAAGACATGTCCCTAAGTGAAAAAAAATATATACATATGAGATATCAAATTAGTAAAAATCTGCCTAATAATAAAATACAGAAACAACAATATAAAAGTTGTTACCTTCACCATCTACATGAATGCTTCCACCTTCAAGAATTATGGACTGTGGAAAACGGGGAATCCTCTCCATTGAAAGAATCTAACAGGAAAAAGCAAAACAAAAATTAATGGAAATCTTTTAAGAAAATTTTTAAGATGATGTAAATCTTTTGAAGTTTCAAAAATATGTATCGATAATATTTACGAATCTAACCTTTCGTGCAACAAGAAGATCATGACTCCAATCTATGTAGCAACCATCATCGATACCTAAAATACACAAACAACCATTTACTTTGTTATTATTATTTCATAAAATAAAATATGTAAAACTATTAAAATACAAAAGATTACCTCCCCAACTATTGAAGTTCCAATCAATACCAGCAACATTATGTCCTGAACTTGATTTCCCCTCACTTACAACAAACTATAGAGTAAAAGAAAGGGATTATTGAATATGAAATTAAGAAGTGATTCAGAGAATTCATCAAAGAATGAAATGGAAGAAGAGCTTAACAGTTGGACCACTGTCACGAAACCAAGAATCATTCATACTCATCTCAACAACCCTCACATTATGAGGTAATTGATCGCGTGCATTAGCCCACTGCAAAAAAAAAAATAATAATAATAATAAAATGAATGGATAGAATGATAGATGTAGTAGTGTAATGTTAGCATGTTTTAAAAGAGGTGATATGAAAAGATAGGGATGTTGGTTTAAGTGTTTCACAGAAATTAGAACTAGATGTTTGAGGCATACATGAAAATGAAATGGAGATTCTCTATTATTGATATGGTAGTATTTGACAAGAATGATCAAAGCATAGATACCAAAAAAAGGCAGAAATCAAGAATCAAGTTTTTGGTAAAGATGACTGGAGAGGAAACAGAAAAGTGATCATGTGTTTTGTATTCTTATTCCAAATTGTTGAAAGGTGTCCCCATATAACATTCATGACTACACTTATTTACACTCCACTGCCTCTAACTTGTTTTACTGACATTCAAGTCCTTCAAATCATGTTCTTCCATTCAATTCCTAGATATTTGATTGTAAGGTCGATTTAAGAGAAATTTTGACTAGGATCCATCATCAAACATGCTTACGAATTACGATACGATAAGAAAACGAATTGCAAACAGATTACAGATAGAGAGAAAACGAATTAGGTAACCTGAGAGGCACTGGCGCAGACAGTGACAGGCTCGAACTTAGAAATAGCGGAAGCAACTTTTGCAAAAATCCTCTGGCCATGGACTCCGTTATCTCGCCAATTATCAGGACGCTCCTGGAAGTCGAAAGAGAGAGATAGAGATTTAGTTTTAGGTCAAAATCAGCAAGAAATAAAGTATAAAAGATGAAGACATGTATGGAGAGAGAAGACTAACGGGCCAACCAAGCCAGGTTTGAGAGTGGAGTTCCCATTCTGCGGGCATTCGGAATCCATGGAGAGCAGGCGTTCCTTCTGTTATATCCATCTGATCGAAGTCTCTACCGGAGGAGGAAACTTAAAGAGGAGCACCGTGCTGAACGACGGCCTTAGGTCTCTTCCCACTACTCGTTTATTCTCAATGGCTGCTCACTGGAACAGTGGAATCAGACTGCCAAAAGGTCTAATCGCATCTCGGCATCTGTCCAGATTAGACGAATATTAAATTTAAAGATTCTCCTCTGAATTTAATATTTTATTATATATATATTAATTCACAAACGGGTTGAACAGGAACTTTTAGTAAATTAGAATTTTGCCACATGATTACTCCTTTTTACATATCTGCCACATTAATTTTTGCTTTACACGGTTCTAACCCCTGTTCTTTAACTGATTTAACACATTGGACACACCCACCGCCTTTATCTTTCCTTCTTTATTTGTTTTTCCCACGTAAGGTCAAACGTTCCTTCACCATTCGTCAAACCTTCTTGCTGCTTCTCAACTCTTCTTCCTTTTTCTGTCGATCAGTTCTTCAGGTTTGTTTCTGTTCTTCGTTGTGTATTGTGTGTTTTTCGTTTCCTCTTTGCATCATGGCTCTTCCTTCCACTTCCCGTTTGGAATTCCGACAAGGGGTTTCGTCGTCGGCTTGCAGGTGACGACGACGTCGAGTTGACGGCAGAGAAAGACTGGGCATTCATGGTGCAGAAAAAAGAAGAACAGCTTCTTCTTCTATGATGACATCTGCAGCAGATTCAATGGCCTCGAGGAGCGTGGAAAATACTTAATAAAGCACCTTAGCAAGACATGACTATGAATCCATTGCATCATAATAAATTATTATTTTTTCTCCGACTTTTGAATTGTCGAAGCAAGAACTTTATGCGAGAGTCGAAGCACCAAAGGGAGAATTGGGAATTTTTCTGATAGGAGATAAGGGTGTTTTTCCTTGGCGCTATAAAATTCGCCCACCGGGGTTTATTAATTTGCAAATTCTTCCTCAGTTAGTTAAAAGAATGAAATTGGCTGATATTATGACGATACTAGGTACTATAGATATCATTATGGGAGAAGTTGATCGTTAAAATGATAATTGATACTCTCACTCATTGCTTACATTCGAGAAGTAGCAGATCTTATTGAAGCAGCTCAGACGAAATTAGAAGAAGCTTCGCATTTTAACCTAATTAATCAAATGCGAACCACAAAATTTTCATTCCAGATGCGAACACAGTTTAGTTCATGAACTCTAAACTTGCGAAATCAAAAATTCATATGTTGAACCCATATGCGAATATTAACCCAATTGACTTCAAATTGATTCACAGATGCAAACACTCAATTGTTTTACTTTCGCAAAATGAGCATCAACAACTCCACAATCGAGTTTTTAAATTCTTGCAAACAACAATTTCACAGTCCTTGACTTCGCGTTTTTCTTTACAAATCATCCCTCAATCATCAATCCAATTGCGAATCAAAACTCATATGTTCTTGCTTTATCGATTCATCGACTACACTCATACAAATGCGAACAACACTCAATTTCAAAATCGATTGAAACTACTGGTCCCAAAAAACTTACTATTAAAAAAAAATAAAAATAAGAACATCCGATACTACGTAAACAACTCTCTAACAATTCCACCACGTGCTCCTCTCACTCATTGCTTACATTCGAGAAATAGCAGATGTTATTGAAGCAGCTCAGATGAAATTACAAGAAGCTTCGCATTTTAACGTAATTATTCAAATGCGAACCACAAAATTTTCATTCCAGATGCGAACACAGTTTAGTTCTTGAACTCTAAACTTGCGAAATCAAAAATTCATATGTTGAACCCATATGCGAATATTAACCCAATTGACTTCAAATTGATTGACAGATGCAAACACTCGATTGTTTTACTTTCGCAAAATGAGCATCAACAACTCCACAATCGAGTTTTTAAATTCTTGCAAACAACAATTTCACAGTCCTTGACTTCGCGTTTTTCTTCACGAATCATCCCTCAATCATCAATCCAATTGCGAATCAAAACTCATATGTTCTTACTTTATCGATTCATCGACTACACTCATACAAATGCGTAACAAAAAAATGACGATGCAGAAGTTGTTTATTCGATCCACTCAATTGACCATCAATGTGTATGTGTATGTGTAAAAATAAGCTTCTCTTACGTATGTCTGTGTGTATCTCTTTAAAAATTGTGCAATTTCATCATTTTATGACCCCCATTTGCGAAGTTCAATATTTATTTCCAAAAATGCGAAACTCCAGGGACAATATTTGAAAATTTCTGTTTTCTTCCCCAATTCGCATTCTACTGTGAGATACTTCGCATCTTCATTCTTACACCCTTCGCATCCATTCGCATTAATCACCTTCGCATTTTAACCTAATTAATCAAATGCAAACCACAAAATTTTCATTCCAGATGCGAACACAGTTTAGTTCTTGAACTCTAAACTTGCGAAATCAAAAATTCATATGTTGAACCCATATGCGAATATTAACCCAATTGACTTCAAATTGATTCACAGATACAAACACTCGATTGTTTTACTTTCGCAAAATGAACATCAACAACTCCACAATCGAGTTTTTAAATTCTTGCAAACAACAATTTCACAGTCCTTGACTTCGCGTTTTTCTTCACGAATCATCCATCAATCATCAATCCAATTGCGAATCAAAACTCATATGTTCTTGCTTTATCGATTCATCGACTACACTCATACAAATGCGAACAATACTCAATTTCAAAATCGATTGAAACTTATAGCAAAGCTAAATCCAACTTCGCATTCAAAGCAGTGTTATTGATTGCATTCATGAAATACTAACAAGATAATATATTATAATACAAATATACATATTTTAGGTGGTGAAATCGTAACAGCCTAACAATTTGGTATTTTCATTCCAGATGCGAACACAGTTTAGTTCTTGAACTCTAAACTTGCGAAATCAAAAATTCATATGTTAAACCCATATGCGAATATTAACCCAATTGACTTCAAATTGATTCACAGATGCAAACACTCGATTGTTTTACTTTCGCAAAATGAGCATCAACAACTCCACAATCGAGTTTTTAAATTCTTGCAAACAACAATTTCACAGTCCTTGACTTCGCGTTTTTCTTCACGAATCATCCCTCAATCATCAATCCAATTGCGAATCAAAACTCATATGTTCTTGCTTTATCGATTCATCGACTACACTCATACAAATGCGAACAATACTCAATTTCAAAATCGATTGAAACTACTGGTCCCAAAAAACCTACTAGCAGATCTTATTGAAGCAGCTCAGATGAAATTACAAGAAGCTTCGCATTTTAACCTAATTAATCAAATGCGAACCACAAAATTTTCATTCCAAATGCGAACACAGTTTAGTTCTTGAACTCTAAACTTGCGAAATCAAAAATTCATATGTTGAACCCATATGCGAATATTAACCCAATTGACTACAAATTGATTCACAGATGCAAACACTCGATTGTTTTACTTTCGCAAAATGAGCATCAACAACTCCACAATCGAGTTTTTAAATTCTTGCAAACAACAATTTCACAGTCCATGACTTCGCGTTTTTCTTCACGACATAACGTCAAACTATCCATTGACAATTTCCACATAAACATTTATCATCATTTAAATGCAACACAGCGCCAAAGGCGCACACTTGATTCCTGCTAGTTAGAATAGAAAAACAAAATGATATACACTAAAGTTATTTTAACAATTTGATAAAAAAAAAATTTAATTTTATTTGTTTAGAAGTAAAATCATAACTATCGGAAGTTTTGACACATTTATCATTTTTTTGCAATTAGCCGGTAACTAAAATGTTACTGAAAAAAAAAAGTTTAAAACTTTCTTTTCAAATCATTACAAATATTGAGATTTTAGTGTATGGTTTTGGTTTCCCTAAAAACAAATAATTTTATCGGTCTCATGAGATCCAATTTTTAGCCCAAGAACTTTTAATTGTGATTTTCGTCGCAACACCATTATTTTTCTTATCATCATCATCATCTTTGTTGCTACAATCATGATCAGAGAAACAGATGCAAAAGAGAGATTAAGAGAGGGTGAGAAGATTTGTAAAGCTTTCTTCTTGATTCGTCGCCAAATCTTGAACTGAAATGAGGGGGCAGATTGTGCAAACACAAACAACACACACCTAGTCGAAAGGGTGTGAGTGTGAAGAAGGGATAAGAAAGACAGTTTCGTATTTACCGGATTCTTAATTCTCTATTTTTAGGATTGTAAAAATGCAAAACAACCCTAGTTCTTTCTTTCTTTCTTTGTTGATCATCTCCATTTTTTTCAATGTTGGTTTGTTGAGATGAAAAAAAATATTTAACAAGAAACAAACATTAAGGATCATACTATATTATAAATGAAACATTTTTCCTTTTACAACATTCATTTGAAACTCTTATTTATTTTTCCTTTCACCACATTCATTTGAAGCTTCCATAACTTTTCAAATTTCTTTCTAATAATATTAATTATAAGTTTGCCAATAAGGTTATATCAATATTAAAACTAAAGTATAATCATATATCAACTAAGTTTCATATTAAAATAATATATTTACTTCTACTTATAAATTTATGTTTTTTTTTTTTTAATTTTTAACATATTATACTTAATTTATTAGTTTTAATATATTGTTGGATGTAAATCATTATCATTTTAAATATATAATTTTGGAACAATTTGTATAAAATACTTAAATTAATTTAAATATAACATCACATGGTCAACTTAAATATAAATTTTAATATAACTTAAACAACCCAAAAAATATTTTGTAAATAGTTAAAAGTGATAAATTGTAATGTCTTTCTAATAATGATTATAAGTTGGTTAATAAGGTTAAATAAATATCAAACCTAAAGTGTAGTCATAAATAAACTAAATTTCAATTTTAAAATAATATTTTTACTTCTACGTATAAAGTTATGTCTTTAACTTTTAACATATTATACTTAATTTATTAGATTTAAAATGTTGTTGTATGTAAATCATTATCAGTTCAAACATACAACTTTTGAATAGTTTGGAAAAAATACTTAAATTATCAATTTAAATTTAACATTACTGTAAAATTTAAATATAAATTTCAGTTCCACTTAAAAAACCAAAGAATATTTTGTAAATAGTTAAAAATGATAAATGCAAAAACTAAATTGTAA